ACAGTTTCCAAGAAAAAAAGTTAGCTGCCACATCCAAGGATGTAGGTTGTGGCTTATTGCTGAAGTAATTGGCTCTTTTAGTCTTGCATTAGAAGAAGTTCTTTTACAGAGTGTAAGGTTGAGAAGTAGGAGCGGAACTCTCCCATTCTGGTAATTGCTGTAAAGGATGACTTTAAAAAACACACGTTACTCAGCTGCTCCTCCTTCCTCACTGGGCTGCCTGAGAATTCCATCAAATGTAATCACCATTCTCTTTTCTGAGTTTCCCCGTTAACTAGTAGCTGTTTCCTCAGTGCCATCACTTAATATTCTCTGCAGTTTTATCAACCAGCTGGGAGAGTAGTGTGTATGTGCTAGCACTGGACAATTTCCTAGGACAATACAGAATTGATTTAATCATTGAGATTGTGTACCTGACAGTTAATCGAGGCATGATGGAAGCTAGCTGAAGCAAACTGTACACTGCTTATGGTGCTATATCTCTTCAGCCCACAGTAGACTAACCACAAGCAGGTAGCCAGAGATTAATTCAGAAGGTCCCAGTAATATGCTGAGTGAGGCTCAAGGATGAGATATTTAATACTTCCTTAATCGCAGTGTGTGTGTGAGAGAGAGAGAGACAGAGACAGAGACAGAGACAGAGACAGAGAGAATTGGAAAGATTTAGTCATGAAAACAGAACTCTACAATGGTCTGTTATTGAAAAAGTGTTTTATAAATTTACTTCTGTCTTCCTGATCGTTAACCAGACAGATCATTTTATAGTTTTGTTTTCCTAGTGAAAGGAAAACAAAAGGGCAAGAAGGATTTTCTTTGTATTTTTTATTCCTTCCCCCAAACAAAGAAAATATTAGGAAATTGAAAATATATTTTTGTTCTGTCATAGAAAAATTTACTACTTCCCTCCATCTGGTACCAGCTCAAATTCTCACATTTCTCTTGTTTTTTTCTAGCGCTAGAATAACAAAGTGAAATATTCTGACACTAAGGCTCATTTCCAGTTCTGATAAAACTATCTTAACATGCAGTTGCCACTCTCTCATATTTTGGCCTCTGGCTCTTCAGGGGTTATTGGGGTTATTGGGGTATTAAATAAAAGCATGCTAAACTCTTCAGCTACTCTTCATTCTCTCTAGTAATTGGAGCATTGGCAAATATATGGAATGAGAAAAACTTTCTTCTTTATTACTTTGGTTCATGGTTGGTACAGACCCCTGCAACTAAGTGTGGGGACACCAGACCTTGAGCAGAAACCCACTTCCCCTTCAGCCTGGGAGCAGGCATCTGTGTAATGTTTACTGAAAACAATTCAGTGCTTTAAAGCTCTTGATAGGGCTCAGATAAGGGCTCACTCACTGAGATACCATGACTTTCATACCCCCTACGGCTAGATGCCTCTTCCTGTCTGGGGCCTGAGATTAAACCACCAGCCAGGAGGGTGAGAAGTCTGGAAAGAATGGTATGTAAATGGATGGCGAAAGTCCTTAAAAAGGGAAGCTCTTTTTTCTTGGGGAGACTTCTCCTGAGACTTCTCTCTCCTAAGCGGACTTGGAATCTCCTCCTAAGCTGACTTGGGAAGCATAAAGTTTTCTTAAAGCAACCGACCGGTCTCTGTGTCATCTATCCCGACCACCTCGCTACATTCTCGGATGCAGGCCGCACAGCAGGTGCGACAACTAAGAATCACTTAATGGTGGAAAAATCAAATAAGTTTAGTGATATGGGTCTATCATGTGTACATGAAAGATACTCAGAGATGGCTTTGGATTCAGGTTCAGACAATGTAACAAGCCTAACCAATTATAAATGCTCTATCAGTAGCTCAGGCTTATTGATAACTAATGCTTACATTTTAATTGAAATCATATCTCTTATTTATGCTTTGCCACATGGCTCATGACTTTGCTAGTCCTCCAGCATGTCTTGCTCCCACCGTTTCTCCTGATGACGCCACTGACTCCACCCCCCTATATCCCAGCATTCTCAGTTTGACTGTCTCACCTATATTTCCTGCCTTGCTGCTGGCCAGTCAGTTCTTTACTAACAAAGAGAATAATAAATATTCACAGTTTATAGAAGGAGTATTGCACAGCTTTCTCCTTTTTGTCTAATTAAAAAGGAAGATTTTTAACTTTTAACAGAGTAAAGATATATATATAATGAAATGGTTATTAAGTACGAATTGCAGGTACAATATCCAGTCCATTTGTATTTGGCAAATTTAGAGAAAATATTCTATGTTTATGTTTCTAAAGTGCAAATGGAAGCTTTTATGCATTCTACTTGATTCCACAGCCACTTATAATCACCCCGAGGCTTAATATTAATTATAATCATTTGGTCAATGGCTCAGGCATATTACTGACTAGCTCTTACAATTAAATTAACCAATTTAGTTTATATTTGACCATGATGCTTGTGGCTTGTTACCTCATATCTTATTTCTCCAGTGGCTACAGGGCATCTCTCTGACTCTACCTTCTTTCTCTCCTTATCTCTGTTTGGATTTTCTGCCTGTTCCTTTCCTGTCTGTCCATTGGCCAAAACAGCTTTTATTTGTAGCATATCAGACATGCCACAGCACTAAAATTTTATACCTATTTTACCTTTTATCATAACTGAGGAAAACTTTATCTACAACTGGATTGAAGACCCCAGAAGGATGACATGTTACCTAATGACAGGGGCATCTGGATACTTGTGCAATCACCCTAGGTTTCTCTGTAATGTTGGGGATCCAACGCTGTCCTACAGACCTAGTATATCTGACAGACTTTCTGGTTAAATAGCAAATTTTGAAGGACTGTCCTATCTTGTCATGGCAAAATTTAGCAGTTGCCTCTCATGTATCCTGCTGGTCCAGTTTGGACAGTAACTGTCAGAAATTGAGGCAAGGATAGATTATTTGGCCAGATGGCTAGCTTTTGCCATAAAGAAAGCAAACTCTGTATGGAGTTTCTTTTATGCCTATCATCTTCTCTGAAGTAGATTGTTGCTACCAAGAGCAGACCTGTCTCATGATCATGAAAAGCCTTAGGTAATTAAATATTAAATGCCATATTCTGTTTGTTTTTGAAGTGTTTGAAGACCATCTATCTATCTAAATATATCTGTTTATGACCTTGAAAATATATCTAAAATTACTATAAGTTTGACTACTATAGATTACTATTAGTCTGTACTTTTAATTATGTATTACATTTTTAAATGAGTTGCTAAATACAATAACCCAAACAAGAGTAGAAACATATATACAGTATAACAAAATTAACATTAGATTTGTATCAATATACAAAAATCTATACCAATGCAAAATATTTAAGACTAGTAGTGGCTTTTTTGGTTTAAAAGTAGATTCAATAATCTACCCCTTTATCCTATCATTTATATATCTCCCCTTTTTGTTTCCAGAAAGAGATCCTTAAATCTAATATCATTTTTTAGCTTTTTTCTGGCCATTACCAATAAAATTATAACCAACTCCCCTTAAATTATAACAAAAATCCATAACCAATATTTTGGCAATGTGGGCATTGTTCTGTCTAGACTGCTTCCTGTTGTCTGGGGCATTGGTAATCTTTGGGAGAACCTGAGAAAATTTTAGGATAATTGTTAACTCTTGACTGTAGTATTCTGTGAGGCTGGATCATCTCAGTCAGGAGCCTGGAAGCTGTTCTGGAGGCTGGGTCACCTGGACTATCTGCTTTCATTGCTTTGTGGTTCTCTTGCTCTAAAAAATGCATAAATTATAAAGGTAACATGCATACTGGTTTTAACTCAAGTATAGACTATGCATTGTACATAAACCAGCCAAAAATGATTTTTTGTTATGTTTTTGAGCAGGTAAAATATACATCATGTGTTTTGTAGTCCTTCTAGGTTTATTTCTTGATGACTGTACTCAGGATTTCAGGTGATCTTCTTTGATTAAACCCAATTCTCTTTAGCTTGGAATGAATTCATAGCCTCTCATTTCCTGTGTAAATAAAAGCATAACCTTTCCTCCAAAGTAACATATCTTTTGACTTAAATTTTGAAGTCAAGATATCTTTAAAATATATAGGTTGGTAGACTCTAGCAGTTTTTATAATACAGTGCCTCTCAGCAGTCAAGAAATTCAAAGACAACTGGATAACATACAGGATCCAGACTCTTTGTATATTTTCCATCTTTATGTGACTTATATTTTTATTACTTTGTTCCTTTTTAAGTGACTTTCTCTACCCCTTTTCATTTTTTTCTCAATCCTATGCATATTTTTAAGACACTGTAACCCATTCAGAGGGGTTTTTTTCATTTGAATCTGTCTTTATTGCATATCTGTAACCTTTTCTGTCTGCATGACCAAAATCCCAAAACCCACCAGTCAGCATGTGGACAGAGCTCTCAAGCCCATAGGCAGTAGCTTGGAGATGCCTTCTGTATTGAAATCTGTATAGAAGACTATAGGAACCCACCATACTGCTTAGTTCATGGCACTTGGCAGCAGGCTCCATCCCATGGGCAGTTGTTGGGAGACACGTCTCCTTGCATAAGACTCTGAGACTAGGAAGCTGACTCTTGTTCTGTTTTTGTGTGTTTATAACCTTTCAAGATTCTTTTTAAGGTTTTATGTGGAACTACATCAGAAGTTGGGTGCCACTTGTAGGTGGAATATCTTGTCCTAGCAGCTCTCTTCTAAATTGCCAAACATAGGGTTATATTAGTTACAAATGCTCAGGCTTGTTATTAGCTAACTCTTACATCATATTTTAACCCATATTTCTATCGATGCTTTGCCACATGGCTCATGACTTTACAAGTCCTCCAGCATGCCTCTACTTTCTTCCAGAATTCTCAGTTTGGTTGTCCCATGTATCCTTCCTGCCTTGCTATTGCCTAGTCAGTTCTTTATTAACCAATGAGTATAATATATATTCACAGTGTACAGAAGGATTATTATATGGCACCATGGGAAGCAATATATGATTTTCTGTGTATATTTGTCTCTGTGGTTTCAGGTGGTGTACATCTGCAGGGATTTAGAGGAAGTGGACTTGATCACTGAGTACTCTACCAGCGTGAGTTTCTCCTACAAATGTTTTTGTTTGCTTGTAAGCTCCACAGTGACTAATCTATCACTGCAGATAAATCTTCATGTCAAAGAAGCAGCACTATTGCAGTAGCACACTCAGGTCTTCTATAGTCACATTTTGTGGTGAGAATTTTGGTCTTATTAGGTTTCCCCATTCATGTTGCACTAAAGTCGAACCAGGAAGCTCATATTTTTCACCATTCATTACTGAGCAACTATGAAAACAGCAAAAGACATACTGGAGCATTTTACCCTACGCTAGAGCCTAAGGTACAGCGATACATGTGCTTTTGTGCCTCTCCCCTCTCCTCCCTTCTGCTCCCCTGCCCTCTCTTCCCCTCCCCTCCTCTCTTTTAAATTACTGCAACATCTAGGACAGCCTGTACTCCAAAGTAAATTCCTAGCTATCTTAGATCACAGAGTCTCCAAAGATTATAGTAAAATAAAATGAATAAAAGGTGGGTTTTACTGATTATAAGAGGAATACCTACTATAGCATACTTTTCAAGCACTGGAGGATTTTAGAAGTAAGGGTGAGACAAGGGTAATATCTGTCCTGATTAGACTCATATTAGGTGTTTGAGATAAAGTTCTATTAAATCTGATGACCCACTGGATGGCTTGCTACTGACTTGAGTACCAGTGAAGAGTACTTTGTTTATGTTTGTTTCTTAGAAAGCCATCCCCCTTGACTCTCCCTTATGTACCTGGTCCCAGGTCTAAGGCAGTTCTTTTCTTGTTTGTTTGTCTTGAATCAACAGGCTCTTTTCCTCCATCAGTCTTCTTTCAGCTTGAAAAGCTATAATGACAGTCACCATATTTGACCAGAGTCTGCTCGAACAGCTCTCCAGAGATGTTTTATCATCTTAGAACCCCAGGCCCTAGTCTGATGCTTATTATGTCCTCAGTAAATCCTTCACTAAATGAATTAAAGTAATTAATTACTAAACAATGCAATGAATGGTGCTTTAAGTGAACCTTGAATGGCAATAAGGATGATGGGTCAAAATGACTATCGGGTTAAGTATAATAATGATAGTGACAAAAGATGATGGTGATGTCGTTCCTGATTCTGACCATGTGACAGTCCTTGTGCACCCATCCCCTGGAATGCCCTAATAACTCTGTTGTGAAGGCAGAGTAACAGACCCTACTTTCCGGTAGGATAGGAGTATGAAGACTGGTGCCCTGGTGAGAGGCCTGCTCCTGTTGGACTTATATATACCAGGATCCAAACCACAAAGCAAAACTGGATCCTGTTTTGCTAAAAAGCATTTCCAGGTCTGTAATCTGGCAGAACAGCTAATGGTGTCTTCATGTATCCTGAATAATGTGACAGTTTAGCCTGTGACAACTCAAAATAGCTTCATAATTCGTCATTTCACTGTGACCCTTTGGCTGTGTTTGAATGCAGAATAGGAATGTAAAACTAAAGGCCACGGGACTATTCATTTTCATGGCATTGAAAAGCAATGTCCTTATCACCCATCCTGTTAGGGAAGACAGCCCCTTGCTGAGTGCCCTCTGCTGTGCATCTCTCTGTACGGATGCAACACGTACTTCTCCGTGTTTATCACAGCACACAGCAGCCGAGTAATTACGGACACTTAGGCAGACAAATTAAACTATTCTGTGCAGACATAGCTGGGAAAAGTCCATTCTATGTGTGGAATCACATTTAGCATTGTCCAAATTCAAAGGCACAAAATTACACACTTACATCAGTAACTTATTCATAAAGTCCCCTATCTGCCTTGTTTGTTTTCCTGTTAGAAACCAACTCAAACCAGTTCTACAAATGATGATTCACAAAATGATGGTACTTAAATATCAAGCCTATGACATGAACCAAACAGTTGAGGCAGAAGCAGCCTTAGATTGGTGCCTCTGCTCCATAGCTTCCTGTGTGGAAAAACTCAGCAAGGCCAAGGTCTCCAGGGTGTGACCACCTTTTCAAAGTTTTGAGCTAAGGCCTCTGAACTAAGCCTACATAGAAAGTGTTTTCAAACAAATGGTATCAGCCCAAAATCAAATGCTTAGGCCAGATTTTCATTTAGTGATGGAATTTCCTATAGGTTTTCTCTATTGTAGGGTCATCTCCAGGAAGACAAGGAAACCTCTTCATAAATGCAGACCCTTTGACTGAGGACCCCTTGCTTCAGAGAGGATCTTTTGATTATCAGTGACCAAAACGAATTATCCTAAAGCAGTCTCATTTTGAAAGCAAAGATTCCACTTCAAGGGAGGAAAACCTCCTCTCCGGGCCTAAAACATGTAAGGTTAATGATGAACATGCTGCAAGGAGAGAGATTTGAAAAAAGCAAAAATTGTTAAGTCTGCTGAGGACTAATCAAGCATATTGTTCCCTTGATTCTAGAAAATTGAAACAGGCTTTCAGAAAGGTTGAAAAGATGTCCATGGCATACTTTTGGTTTACTTTGTCTGCAAACCCATGTTTCCCCTCTTCCCTGTAGTGTTAGTGGCTCCAAGAATGGAGGGGAGGGGTGCTGATGATAGCTACTACTGGTGTTCTGAGGTCCACTGGCAGAGGGCTCTTTGTCTCTCCAAATGGTACTTGTTTCCCTCTCCTGGCTCATTTCCCATGCTGTTCTGCAGGCTGAGGCAGCCTGGGACAAATCAACCTTGGTCTCACTGATGACTGAAGCAGGACTTTTGGGATGGGAATCTAAGGCGGTGGTAGAACACTCACCTAGCCTGCCTGAGGTCCTGGGTTTGGTATCAGGCACCACAAACAGAATAAGCTTGCAAATGTCTATGGTCTATGCCAATGCCTGTAGACATGTTAGTGCCTGTGGGTCATGCTGCTGCTGCGGTCCAGGTTGAGGTTAGTGGCAGTGGCCTATGTTGCCACCTGAACCATGATGGTGGTCAGTGATCAGTGGTCCTACTGCCACAGAGGCCATGATGGGGTCTGTGGTCCTGCTGCAGGCAGAATCGTATTGATGTCCGTGGCCTGTGTTCCCACCAAAGGCCAGGCAGATGCCCATGGTCTGTGCTGCCACCTGAAGCCATGTTAATGTCAATGGGCTGGGCAGCTGCTGGGGATCGTGTTGGTGTTAATGGCCCATGCTATCCTGGGGGCCATGTTTATGTCCTAGGCTTGTGCTCCCACCAGAGACTATGATGGTGACCATGGCCTGTGCTGCAGCAGAAGACACCAGAGAAGAAGCTGAGGTCTATGGCACATGAAGAGGCCAGAGATCGTGTGGATGCTCATGAATCTTGCTGTCACAGAAACGGTGTGAAGTCCATGATCTCTCCTCCTGCTGACTATAAAGGACAAGGAAGTTGCTTTTGCAGACTCACGATTGGGAAAGGGACACAGAAGGCTTCTCCACACTCAATCCCACCCCACCCTGCCCCCCAAAAGTAATAACCTAGACAGAAAGCAATTGCAGAGAACTCTTAAATATTGTGATAAGGATGTAGGATGTAGTTTTCCACAATTGATGGTCTGGCGGGGGTGAGGATAGGGAAGGACTCAGTTTTCTTTAAGGGGCTGACCATTGGGAGTTTGATCATGCTCCAGAGAGTATATGGGCAATACAAATTGGACTTCTTCTTCCTCTTTCTCCTTCTGTTGGTGGGGGGCAGGGCATCACAAGGGTGGTGGTGGACTTGGAAGGACTGGGAAGTGAGTATGATTGGAGTGCATTGTGTGAAATTCCCAAACACTCAATAATCAAAAAATATTATGCTGGGGGAAAACGAACAGCGTGGAAAGAAAAGCTACAATAGCAAAATACCCCACAGTTTGGAATTTTCACCCTCAAGAAAGCCAATTCTTGTGACCAGATTAAATGTACTCAAAACTGAGAGGGATTCCCTACCTGACCCTCCCTCTCACCCGCCCACTCAATCTCACTTCCCTCCCCCTCCCTTATGCTCTCTCCCTCCCTGACTCCCTTCTCCCCTCCCTTGCCTTTTTTCCATGCTCCCTCTTCTTTCCTTCATCCTTTCATTTAAAAAACAACATGAAATGCATGAACAGGCACAAAAAGTAGGACGATAAACATCTGAACTTTCAGTACCCAAAACAAGCACCTGTCTCATTTGGTCAGATTTGCTTTCAGAGTTTTGTTTTGTTTTCTTTCTCTTTTCTTTTCAAAAGGCTGGTTGATGAAAAGAGATTCTCTGTCATTCCTGCCTTTTCTTCTCTCTCTGTGCCCTGCTGTGTCTGTCCACTTCCTGCTGAAACCTCAGAGCTATGAGTCTGGGGTGTGTCCCTGAACAGCTCATTCTCTGCATTTTCACATGTGTATATGTGAATCCACCAGATACGTGGGACTGTGTTTGTATGCTTCAAGCATTTTTTTGTTGCTAAGTGATTATTTGTGAAGAGAAACATGCATGCTGATGTATGTATATATATATATATATATATATATATATATATATATATATATATAGAACCAGATGATTCCTTTTAAGGAGTGTGCACTGTTCCATGGTACCCCCCGATGCAATTACTCATTCCCTTTTCGGGGTGAGCTTTTAGGTCATTGCTAGATTTTAATATACTAAAAAAGCGTGAAGATACTTTTCTTAGCATGAAGATACTCTTCTTAGCGTGAAGATACTCTTCTTAGCGTGAAGATACTCTTCTTAGCGTGTGCCTCCTCGTGTGCATGTTCATGAGCCCCACACATCTGCCAGGTAGGATCAGTATGCATGGACTATGCAGTGCTGCTTTTGATAAATACAATAAAAGCTCTCACTAGAATAATGTACCACTTCGTGATTCTGCCAGGAGTAATTGGAATATTACATTATTTTCCTCACATCTTGGACAACATTGAATTTTGCCAGGCTTTTTCATGTTAACTACTTGGATGGAAGGAAAATGAAATTGTATTATTTTAATTTCCTTTTTCTTCCTGACCAGTGACTGAACTTCTTACAGTCATGATCCATTGTAGTTTCTTCTTTGAATAACTCCCATTCCTCATCTCGGTTGCACTCCAC